CCCCCGGGCCATGTAAAAATTTGTACATTTTTTTTTTCTCTTGTCCATGTAAAAATCTAACTTTTATTTTTAAAGGATATAAAAGATCATTATGAGATAATGAAGTGGTTTTCATTTCATCATTATCCTTGTGATCCACCTCCAAAAAAGGAAAGCAATTAAGAAAAAGAAATTGCAGATTTGTTTCTCTTAAACAATATTATTGAAGTAAGGAATTAATTTTGTGTGCACTGCCATATAAAAATATTTAGACAATCAAGCCATTTATAAGGTAAAAGGTAATTATAGGTATATTCGCTAAAATAAATAGTTTTTTTTTTTTTGGCGAATATTATTTTCACATACTTTCTGATACGTTTGTGCTGGTCGACATAGATTAATATGATAATTTTTGGCTTAGGTCGAGTTCCAAGTTTATACTCGTTGAATTTGATCCTTTCTAATAATTGTAATTAGTTTCAAAGGAAAAAAAAGGAAGTTCTTGGTGCTAAACTATAGTCAAGGAACCCTAATAAAAGATAACTAAAATGTCTTTTTTCTTTTTCTTTTCTTAAAAAAGAAAAGTTCTTTTAAGAGACACAGAAATTCTTTCAGAGCCACATCCGAGCACATTTATATTCCAAAGTCCAAAGAATAATACTGCGAAGCAATAAAGAAAGTCAAAAAGGAAAAAATAAGAATTTTTTTTTAATTGGTAAGCAAAAAAGAAAAAATGATTTTCCTTCAGAATTTAGGCGGCAATTTTAGTTCACGCATAACCAAGAGTCATGAATTGTTAGTGAAATACAATTGTCAACGAAAGAGGTATTTTTCTAAGAATATTTTATTTTATTTTCAAGGAACATAAATCAATTTGAAAATTCTCGTTCCGTTCAAAATGCTTCATACCGAAAAGAATATGCTACTAGATGGAAATTGTTAATTACTGTAGTCGCTCCTACTACCTTATTTACCTAACTCACTCGTGTGCCATGTGAAAATTGCTCAATTTTGCCATCCCTTATAATTTTATATTCATTTATATATCTATTTTAACAAATCGTCTAGTATTTACCCTTGGTATTAATAGAGCTCCAGCGTGAAATGGGTAGACTCCACGTATCCAAATTCTTTATCTAAGAAGGTCCAAATTTCCCTTTACTCTTGAAATATTATTTAAAATTACCCATAGGTTTGAGCTCCATTAGAGGTTAATGGCAAAAATGAGTGTTTTTTTTCCTAATAACATTAGACCAAATGTTTAATGGAAGACAAAGTTGCAAGATTTCAACTAGTACAAGTACCCATTTTCCAAAAATTAAAAAGAAATATAGAAATAGAAAAGTTTAGCGTGACAGACTTAATAATGAATGTTTTTGGATTTAATGTCATTTTCGAGCTTAAATATGGTTATATAATTAATTAAAGACCCCTCCATGTGCATACACATTAAGCAGTTGAGTACAGGTGTCTTATTGTGATATAACTCGCCATTAATTCCTTAAAAGTTAAAACTATTTGTCACATTCTCTTTAATTATTTCCTGAGTTCCCTTTCCCTACTTCTTCTTCTGTTTATATTGAATAATATGATGACTATGACGCTGACATATTAACAACAAAAGGATTATAAATGTATAAATAATACTGCAACTACTCTAACGATAATGTCCAATATACTCCTTCAAAATACCAAACAAAATCTGCTTATTATAGACTAGCTACTGGATAACCTTTTTTTAAAAAAAAATTAATAATAATATCAAAGGCTGCTGGTTAAGTAGGCAATTAATTGTTGGCCACGGTGTCAAGGTGTTTTCCAAGATCGATCTGAGATCTGGCTATTTTCAGGTGAAGATTAGGGCTTCGGATGTCCCTAAGACAGCTTCTAGGACTCATTATAAGTTTTTGGTAATGTCATTTGGGTTGGCTAACGCTCCAGCAACTTTCAAGAATTTGATGAACCGGTGTTCAAGCCTTACTTGGATTCCTTTGTGATTGTGTTAATTGATCATTAATATTTTTTTTTTTGAATAAAAGTTTTTGAAATTGAGTTGAAGTTTTTTATTTGGAAGTTGAAGTTGTGTCTGGACATGAATGTTATTTTTAAAAAAATAATGTTTTGTAAGTGAAGAAAGTTATTGTTTGGAAAAACTTGAAAATGTGGTCAAAATCATTTTTTGTTTTTTTTCAAAAAAAAAAATTCAAAAGATCTCTAAAAACTGACAAAATTTTATGGGCAAAAAAGTGATCATTTTGTTTTTTTGAAAAGAAAGTAAAGATTTTGCATGGCCAAACGGGGCTAAAAGTCCTGAGGAGAGTTGAAAATGGTTCAGAAATTACTGAGAATAGCTTATATCTCGGCAGAAGAGAGAAAATAATATAAAGGCGAAATACATAATCGCCTCCTTTAAGTTGTGCTCAACGGTCAGCCAGACACCTCAATTGAGTCATTTTCAGTTCGACACTTCAAGCTTTCAATAAAGTAGGTCAATTAAACAGCCGACCTCATCAGCCTACCTCACGTGAAATACACTCTCGGATTCATATCAAACGAACAAATGAGCAAATGCCATGTGTAATTTTAATTAAAATATTTGCCACCTATTATAAAACAAAAACAAAAAAACAAAAAGCAAATAATAATTTTTTAAAAAAAAAAAAATCACCGCCAGCCCTTCCTCCTCGTGTTCGGCCCTTCCTCCTTGTCTCCGAAGGGCGAAAAAACCAGAAGAAGAGAAGAAAGAGAAAGCTCCAAAAGGTGATAATGAAAAGAAGGAAAAAAAAAAAACAGAGGAAACAAAAGAAGAAACAAGATTTTCACTACAGGTTTCAAAGGTATGCAGATTCAGTCATTTCAATCAAGATTTTCACTTTAAAAATAGTTCTTTTTGTAATTTGAATGTGTTTATGCAGGAGTTAGAGGATGTTATAACGGATTGTAAGACACATAAGGTGGTTGTAAAAGGGGAAAAAGCAGATCCGTTGAAGGTTTTAGAGAGAGTGCAAAAGAAGAGCCAACGTCAAGTTGAGCTTCTTTCTCCGATCCCAAGACCGCCGGCCGAAGAGCCAAAGAAACCGGAAGAAAAAGAAGCCGTTAAACCCGAAGAGAATATTATTATTGTAAACCGGAAGAAATTTTTGTTTGCAGAAGAGGGGAAAACGACGATGGATCTACCGCAAATTCATTGCCAGAGAATGCTGATTTGAAGCAAAGACGAGCAATTGAAGTGGGCGGTCAACGAAATTGTTATTATGTAGTGGTTGTTATTAATTGTTACATTATGCAAGATTGAAGAAGAGGGGGTGGATTAATGGCGGAAGGAAGAGGCACTACTGATTTGGTGAAGATGGAATATTTTGGGAATAAAGTAAAATTAATGTGTGGAAAATAAAATATAATGGGACTCACATAAAATAAAGTTAAATTTAAAAGAAAAAAAAAACCTTAATTTTGAGCGTTTCACGCGCTTAGAATTAAGAATAAAGCACACACTCTGTCATGTCAGCGTGAAGGGTTCACGAGGTCGTACTTTAGTGGAGAAGAAGTGTCCAACTAAAAATGAGCTCAGTTGAGGTGTCTGGCTGACCGTTGAGGACAACTTGAAGGGACCGTTTATGTATTTCGCCTAATATAAAATCAAGTTGTTAGTTAAGAACTTATTGACTTGTAATAGTACCATTTATGTTCGAGCCGATGTTATCAAAATGTGTTATTAGAATGTTTCGAACTACTTTTGGAGAGCTAATATTATATTACTATCTTTCAACTAGCTAGGGATTTGGTGATGTTTAAGACCTTTTCAATTGTATGATGTTATCGAAAATCTGAAATATGTAGAATAACGACCAAAGATAGTAAATAGTAATTAACGTGGAAAATGAGTACTTAGGCCAGATAAATTGGTCAAAACCATCTAATTATGATGGAACGTTAAGTGACTATGTAGTATGTACACATAGAAAATCTAAGATTAAGATTAAGCACATGATTAAAGTTGTTAGTCTTCTAGATAAGCCCCTAATGTCAGATTTGAAGTCAGTTTCAAGCATCATTATTCAAAATGAAGGTAGATAATCTATAGCTAGCAGATGGAAATCAGTGATTAAAACTAGACATTGATAGTTGTGGGATCACATCCACCATATAATTTTTCTCAAAGTTGATAGAAAATTAGTGGCATTAAAGCCATTAAGCAGATGTTTATCTCATAAGGTAACCAGCTTTAAGTTGGTGTAAAAATCACTATTAAATAGTCAATCAAATTTTTAACAACTAGGGAATTTGGAACATGGGGTGCTGATAACATGTCGGCTAAGTATTAGTTGGTAGAATTTTACAAATGATAAGTCTCTCAAATTGTCGTTCTGAAAATGTTCTCTATATATATTTTCTTAAAAATGTTTTTTGATATTTGATTATTGAGTGAAAAATAATTTCCAGACAAAGGTATATATACTAGATTAATACTAATAAATATTAAATTGAGAGCGATTTCATGAAAATTTTAAGTACTAAAGATTAATAATAATATTTTAGTGTTAGTTCTCGTCGTTTAGTCTTATTCCTACTACTTGATGTTGCGCTTGTGTTGATTTTGTTGCGATCTTGCCGTTATTATTGTTGCTTTTGTTGGGTTTTATTAATTAAAACAAAAGAGGTGTGAATGAAAAATGGTGGAAAAAAAAAATGGAGGGAAATGAAATTTTGATTAGTCCCTTTTACAAAGGAACTTTGTCCTTCATTGGAATAGGAAAAAGAAAATTCTTGTGCTTATATATAGAAGCACTTCTTCTAGCTCTTAAAGAGTTGAGAAGAGAGCAAGCCTCGCGTCATCGTCGTCGCTCGGCTTCGGATTTGGTCAATTGGTATGATTGATTGATAAGTTTTTGGACCAAATTTAGTTTCCATTTCCGTCATTTAATATTTCCTTTCCTAATATATTTGCGCGGAAAATTATTAAAGTCGCGACACTTCCAATGGTCAATTTCGCGACCAGCCATTCTGTTTAACAGAAATTCTCTCGAATAGATACCCCTTCAACCGAGCGGTTACCTTTGCACTCGTTGGAACTCAACTCTGTTGGCTATAAATAGAGAGACTCAGCCTCATTTTTCACCACCGAAAATCTGAAAATCTCTCCCCTCTATCAACTGCATTCTGCATAGTTTTTCAAAGAAAAAACATAAGCATTTTGTGTTATTTGCTCCGCCATTTGAGTTTGTCGAAGTTCTGTGATTTGAAGTGTCGCTAGCACAGAATAGTTATTCAGTTATATTCTAGGAGGAATTAATCTGAAACCTTAGGCAACTGTGAGGGGATTAAATTCCTTAAGGACACAAAAGAAAATTGTGGGTGCAGAATTTTTTCTGTTTTGTTTTCTTAAACTAACGTTTCTAGGTTTCTGGTTTTGGTTACAAGGTATTAACAGTTTTTCATGAATTTTTTACTGCTATATTTCCTCTCCTATTGCTATTATGCGTAGAGGGTCTTCCGGAAACAATCTCTCTATCTGCTTCGTGTAGCGGTAAGGCTGGGTACACCTCACCCCCCCAGACCCCACTTGTGGAACTATACTGGTTATATTATTATTGTTAATTTTACATCGGAAAAGTATGTATGATGAACTTAAATGTTACAATAGTTGTAAGAAAAGTGGCTTCAACTTTAAATAATTGCAGGTTATTAATGTAGAGGTTAGGAGACCTAGAGCTTGGACATAGCTACATGGAACAAAATAGGGTGGCGATCTACTAGCAAAAGAAGGAGCGAGGATAAAATTCTTGAACTACTTTTGTTAATCTGTGCTTGCTATGAATTTGTATTGACGGACATATTAGGAACTACTTTTGTTAAATAAGTTTAGGATAATATTAGTTTTGTAGGGAACACTGTTAATTTGCAAGGACATGCAATCGAGTCTCACCCTTTATTTTGTTATGATGTATATTAGTTAAAATAATCACTACCTTGCAATGTCACAAAAAAGAACAAGGAATTTCAATGGGATAATTACGTTTGTGTTATTACTAATAACAAGTAAATGAAACAATAAGTAATAACCTATAATCATGTTCAACTTGTCATTAATTTTAAAGCAAATTGACTTAATTAAAGACTCTTCATCATAATCAACTTTTTCCCAAATTTTGATATGTATGCCCGTGAACAATCTTAAGAAATGTACCTCATTCAACGAAAAATCGTTAGAATATTTTTGGTACAGAATATAGTTAACAAAGATCATTAACCAAAAGCGTCTTGTGATTTGCATATTCTCACTGTTTTCGTATCTTTCTATAATATAATAAAAATTCAAACAAACTTTAGAATAATTAGACTTTTGAAGGAGCATAAAATCTTGTCGAATCTCGTGTTTTTGGATGTCCTTTTCCTAAGTTTATTAAACGAGATTGAAGGAAATTAAGGAGTCATACGAAATAGCCTAATTTCAATTATTGGAATAATTATAATGAATATAAAATGTCACAGGATTTCTTTTATTAAACAAAATTCCTTATGTTGCAAGGCAAGAATATTCTCCTAGTACATGGTTTTCAAATGCACCAGTCAAGATATTGTTTTTTTTTCCTTCCTTTTTCTCTTGTTAATTTTGCTTTATTGGTGTTTGATGTTTGGTGTGAAGTAACATGATTTTTATAGAAAATATATTTTATGAGGATATATATGTTTCACCTTAGAATATATGACTTGCAATAATAATAATATGATATGGAGAATGTGGATTAGTTTTTAGTTTAAGAATTATGTTTATATGTTGTTTGAAGTAAGTGCGCAAATCTCGAATAGTGGGGTTTCAATGCTAATATCTGACACCGGAAAATAAAAGAAAAAAGAAATGACATGAAACTTGAGCTAAAATAACTAAGAATATTTAATTACTTAAAATGATAACGTACCATTATCACGGTAGGTTAAAACTATCAATTTGTTGGTCATATTAAGAAATAAAAATGCCTTAATGGGCAGAATATTCTTTTTTAGTTTGTGACCAGTCAATAACAGAAAAACCAGCATAAATCTTAATAGAGTATCGATTATCCAAACTTATTTATACCCGTGAAATAAGGACTTAATCCTTTCTATTCTGTTAAAAGATTTACTATGATTAATAAAAGTGTAATATCCAAAATATTTAGACACGGTGCACACATGTTTCAATTAAAATTTCCATTTTTAAAACAAGAAAATACCGGTTCATTTAGACAGAAAAAGATTTTTTTTCCTAGCTAAATACCCAGATCTAAATGGAAATTAAAACAAGAAAAGAAACGTTTCTTAAATATATTAGTGATAGCCGTCTTTTTTTTTTTTCTATTACAAATAATTGTTTTTTTTTAATTCCCGATATTAACAAAAGCTTGGATTGGAATTGCATGACCTGCTACAGTTAATGTGTGATCAATGATCATAGATCTGATCATTTATTATCGTCATTTTAGTGATTTGCTTATTTAATTATCTTGTCAAAACAAATTAATGTGACTAGCTATAGACGAAAAAAGATGGGAGTATTACTTTTGTATGTCTCATTTCAAAAAAAAAAAATAATAAATAAAACAAAAAATCAAAAAACAAAAAAACAAAAAAAAGGAAAAAAATACATGAAATAAGTGCCCTTATACAGGATCGAACTGCAGACCTTCAGTTTACAAAACTGACGCTCTACCACTTCGCTATAGGAGCATTTATTTGTTGAATTAAAATAAAGCATAAATAATAAAATATTTGTATTTGAAACGAACAAAGTTGTAGAGACAAAGGAAAAACATAGGCACGGACCATTACTTGATATACTAAAAGGCTTTTGCAAGCCCAAGTCTTCAACACAATATCCTCATTTCTCATTTGATCTTTTAATACTTCGGCTTTTGTTTTCAATTATTATCCATATTCTTTAGTTCCTTTATGTTGTGTTTCTTATGGATAATAATCTCAACTTTTTAACAAATTTTGAGTAGCTTGAACATAATATTTTAAATTGAAGTTATTTGTGATTTTCCATATTCATCACGGAAGTAAAGAAAAGCTGGAAAATAAAATTGACAAGGCATACCACCTTTTTGTAGTAGTAATACTTTAGAGTTTAAGTTCTATGTACGTGTAAATAATATATACACAATCAATTAACTTATTATGTAATCATAAGTAAATCTTTTGATAAACATTAGTCTGATAGAAACAATAATTAATATGCTATTACATGTTAAAACTCGCTAGTAGTGTAGCGAAATCTTAACATCGTCAATATATATGACCTAAATCAATACTTTTAAGGTATGTCTCTATAAGTGTACATTTCTTATTGTGTTATTGTATTGTGGTAGAATTTCTCTCTGCATTGAGTTGATTGATATTTGGGACAAGGAACAAAGTTGACTAGAGATGATTTAAATGGAGAATTATGATATAAGGATTCATATAGTTGACCTCAATTCATATTGTTGCCATTAAATTTTTGCTGAGATATCAGTTAAGATGTTTCTCCCGTGGCATAGAACATCAGATCCAATGATATGGTAAAGCACCTATATTAACTCTTCTAGGTAAAATCCATTCAGGAGCTAGAAATTGGAACAAGCACAATATCTTTATAATTCAAATTGAAGTCCAAATGGAGATACAATATCATTTGTAAATTAAATTAAAGTCCAAACACAATTAAATGATAAAAATTGAGCAGTTTTAAGGGCCCAAAAATTTGGCCAGATTGATTTGAATCCCAGC